CAGGATTTCGGGCGACTTAAGTCTGGTTTCGGGCGAGACGACTTTCGGGCGACTGGACCGGTTACCGTTAAACCCATCCCAAGGGCAGTTTCAAGACAATGCGGGTTCGGAACGGCTTGGAAACTAAAATTTCGAGGACGTTTTTAGACTTTTTACATTTAGGGCATGAATTTTTCGTCATTTCAGGCCATGGAACCTAAAAATGAGCCTAGCTAGCTGTAAAAAGGGGCAATACGGAGGCAATACGTCCTAGCCGGCATGATCACATGCTGTTTACGGAAAATTCCCTCATCCATGTCAGGAAATTCTGTATTTTAAAGCCTCCCCTAGGGCATGACTCAGCAATTGAGGACATTTCTGCTACGTTTTCAATGTTGGTTAGCATGCAAGGATTTTTCCCATGCCTATCGTCAATGATTTGCTCACTGGTAATAGAGGGGGTGGCCCCAGAGTGGTTTTGCATTGAAATTGGCATGCAACAGAATTTCGCATGCCCTGTAAGCTTAATTTGAGGTTCTGTGACCTTCTCACCCAGGCCGCGAGAAGCCTAGGTTCTAGTAATAAGTAATTCATACCCAGCAAAATCCCCGGCATGCCGGGCATGCCAAATTTTCTGACATGCCCGGCATGCTAAACTCTCTGGAATGCCGGGCGTGCCATAATCTGGGTCATGCCGGGCATGCCAAAATCGGTCTCTGGCATGTTTCAACGCACAGGTTATAATTCCTTGAATCTACAGATATTTTAAGCCTGGCTAAAAAAAAAAAATAAACAGATCACAGTGCTTATCTTTTGATGTACGGTTACACGATGACGTCATTGCTATTCCTTTCATTTTCATAGATTTGGTTGTCCCAGCGAAGTTTAAATAACAAAAGCTCTAATTTTCACAAGAAAGTAAAACCCTGAGGGATTCTGCCGAAGTAATAAAACAGCGTCATCGTGGAGATGACCTGTTGGGGGATTGTAAAAACTCCTCACCCCTTTTAATGAGTCTTTAATAGGATTCCCATTTCACATTGCGAATAAAATGGAATTGACTGAAATCAGTAAAAAGAGAGACAGAGACTATTTTCATTGTATAATAAAATGCATCTATGTTCCATGAAAGCTTTTAAAAATACAAGGTTATAGAATATCTTTCAAAGTTCATTACAAACTGAGCTAAGCCCCAAAATCACTGTTCATTATTCAGTAAATTATGATGTTTGACAATGCAATGTGCTTGAATATAACGTTGCAATTACAAATCTCTCGAACGCAATTTTCCCTACGTTAGAAAAGCTCTTTTTATCTTGTTTCACATTTTGATAAGGAGTCTGAGTTCCTCTTTCTTGTTTTGTAGGCTTGCCAGGGATTAATGTTTTTTTGTCATTACCAGTGTCTGTGTTCTTCGTTTTTAACTCAAAGTAGACAGTAATAACTGACGGTATCAAAGGATTGCTCTCTAGAAAAGTAATTATCTCCTCGTCATGTCTGGAAGTTACCTGTAACAAAAAAGAAATGGAATCTTAACACATGCAAGGGCAATATGAAAAAAAGAAATAGAACATGTAGAGCTCAGCTTCTCTTAACATATTTTCATACTGGCTTGTTGAGTCTGTTAAAGGTCGCAACTAATTGTCTGAGGCTAATTTCACAAGAGTGTGCAATTGAGATAAATACATGGTAAATAAAGTGAAAGAAACGTGGTTTCACATTAGCCAATTTACATTGCGCTGTTCGATGATGTTTACACGCTTTTCTACTGCGAAATAAACCTTTGCATTTGGATTTGCAAGTCAAGATTATACCGAGTTTGACTGACACTTAATTGAACAACAGTTTCATTTTTAAGCAGGCAATTGGGGTGTAGACCCATATAAAGCCGGAATATGTAAAGGAAACTCAGCGAAAACTTTTTCGCATCTTTTTGTGGCGATATTCTTTCACGGCCCGTCAACTGATTAGGGGTTGCGAAGAAAAAATAAATTAGGACCAAAGGTTAAAGCCTGTCCGGTTACATCATTTCGTATGTTACCTAGAGTTCTAATAAATAGGTCATAAAATAGGATTTAACGAGAGCGAATTTGTTTCTCAATCGGTGTATAAAAAAGTGAGGCTATCAAATGAGAAGTTTATAGAGTATCAAAATTATTAAATTAAAAGCTCATTTAATTAGGAAAATTCCTATACGAAAACAATGCTAGTGACATTAAATTGATCAGATAAAATTCTCAGAAAATATGTCCAATAAAAGCCTCATTATTTGCTTTTGTTTTTGCGTAAAGGTAAATTTTTCGGCCCACAAAGCAAAGTTGAAAAAGCGACTAAATCTTAGTTTTTTACATTGAACATGTTTATTAGCTTAGTTTTCGTCCGTTTTAAAAGCTTTATAACCCAATCATAATTTTCGGGTTAAAATATTACAAAATCATTTCAAAAACCATGTTCATTTAAAGTAGAGCCGGCAAACCTGAACATTTTGTAATTCAAAAGTCGGACCCAGCCAGGTTGTTTAAGCTTAGAATTATTTGCATTTTAGCGTCCTATAAATTTACCAGAATCGCCTCTCAGAGGCTTACTGTAGCAAAGCATTTTGTAGTACACTCGTAGACAAGCAATGTAAGCCTTAAGTCTTTGCTTGGATGAGATGTCCAAAAGAAAAATTAGTTTTGTGGACCTAAACGCACATTCACAGACTGCTTATATTGAGTTGTTTACAACTTTGCATTGACACGCGCAGCATGTTCATTTTTTTAAAGCGAAATCCAAATCTGATTTTGGCATTTGATTTACGGATATTTTATTTTGTCTCCAAAAGTGATTGTAATATCCGTTTGATTGTCTTTCAAACAACAGTCAAACTATGCAGCAAAAATAAGTAACTTTACCAGTACAGTGGAAAAATATGACCGTAGGTGCCAAAAATAATTATACTCGAGCTATAAAATTAGAACTGACTTTTTTTAGCTTTGGTTTCTTATTTTTGAAGTTTTCTCTAGTCTTCTTAGCAGCAGAAGAAGATTACAAGACATACAAACAGAAACAATCCGAAGTGAACAAGTTGACAACCACTTATGCCGGAGTTCTTAGGCATGCTCAACAGCAAGATAAACTGAATGCCAAAAGGATAATTCACGGGATTTGTTCGATATTCAGGCTTTTTCTTTACCAAATTAATACTAAATTTGTACTTACAGTCTCTCGCAGAATCCATTTCTTGTCCAGCATTCACCAACATCTCAACCATGCACCGCAGAAAAAAAAGACAAACAAGTGCGAAGAGACATGACGACATCGTGACGCCACAACTGCCACGCTACAACAAACTAGATTCCTCGTCATCCGCGAAAACACTTCTGCGGAAATTCGGCCGATTTCGTGCGTGCTCGGGGTATCTTCGGATGACGCAGATGACGTTGCTCAAAGGACTATCGTCAGCAAGGAGTAAAACAGTTTGCGAGATTCGCATAGCCGACAAGGAGCGCACTGAAAAACTAAGCAAAATCTCTCTGAGAAGGCAGTCCAAATTCACCAAATCAGAACGTCTTTGCAGTATTAACGTCGTACTCTCGTACTGACTTGAACGACCTGGTAAGCTTCATTTTCACCAGTCTTTTAATGCTGTTGACCGGGAAACATTCCGACACGATAAAACTTAAGCATGGATAAGTTTATACTGAGAAGATTTGTTATCTTATTGTTTAAGACGCTTTTCCGCGATCAAATTTAAATGTGGACCCAGAAATGTCAGTATCGGTTTGAAATAAAAGGATTAATCTTTGATTGCAAGTTAAGTATTCTATTTTATGTATGAATAATGTTGTTTTGTTGTGCTTTTTATTTATAAATCCAGGCTTCTGTCTTCAGTTTTGCCAGTCGATCCCGTGACACACATTGTGACAAACATGACTTTTTTTGTTATAATCTGCATTTATTGCCAGGCATGAAACCTGTAACTTCAAGCTCCCTAAGATATATTTGGCGATTATATGTGATTCTCAGGATATGATGCTGAAGCGAACATCAAAATCAGTCTCGCTGGGCATGCCAATTTCTTGCCTGGCATGCCGGGCATGCCAAACCAACTGGCTTCACCATCGGCATGCCAAACTAGAGGAGCAAAAACTGGGAATGAATTATCAACTCGGCGAGAGATCTGGGACCAAAGTTTAGCTGGGTCAATTTTGGGCTGCGAGGGCATGAACCCATTTTTTCCATGCCTATGAGATGTTATTCCTAAGTACCAATGTTCCCTCGAATTTTGTCATGCCCAAATATATAAAATTTTCCCTCTCTCATTAATCCTCAGACTGGATGCGATTTTTACGCTCGCTAGGCATGTTCAACTGAAAATCATGCCCATACCCTTATTCAAAACAAAATGCTATCAAATTTTAGTTTCCAAGCCGTTTTCGGTGAGCAGATTCACTGGTTTCGCGTGAACAGAAGGACGATTCATGTAAAATGGTATGCAGTTCCAAAAAAATCCAGATTCGTGTGAACGTAACCTTTAAAATTCAACTATTCACACTTTTTCCCGTCCTCAAAACGTTAAAATAATCTTCGGACGGACAGTTTTTCTTTTCACGGAAAACAAACAACTATTACGGTTTCCTTTGGCCTCGCAACACAAAATATAGCTAATTTAATAAAGGTTGCTTTGGGCATTGGTATTTGGGCACTGGAAATTTGTTGTTTTGTGGTTACTCAAGCAAATGACGGTATTTTTCTGTATGCCCAATTGCCAAAGCAACCTTTATTGATTTAGGTATATAAACATGTCTCTAAGTAGGCTTATGCGAAAGGAGGGCCACCCACGTAGAAAAATATGCGCGTACACGCGCGAAATCGCGACGAGGAAGACACAACACACAACCAATCAGATTTCTGCTATTTTTGCATTCGATTGCATCACAAGTCGTAAACTGAAGTCCGCCATCTTTGATTTTGGCTCCTTGTTTTCTGCAAGGTTACATTTGTACAACCCTTAGTAACCAGTAATCGTTTGTCGTGAAATGGGTGTCTTCAACGTTCAAGAACATTTACGACATCGCCGAAATCGGGAAAGCGAAGAATCGTACGGGACAGAACTGTAAGTATCGTAGAATGTTTTGTTTTGGTTTTTTGCGCGGTTAAATAATTTATTTACTGTAAAAACCGGTAAAATCTGTAAGTTTAAGTTCCCTATTTCATCTTTGATTTTCTATCAACAGCTATAAATAAGCTGATGACAATGCTGCTTGATTTGCGAATTAAACCAGCTAGCCAAGTGTGGTGTCCTTAGCTTGTTTATAAATGGGACTCAGAGTAAGATTCCCCCCTTTTCTTATTTCGATTAGCTAGCTGGTTATGTAATTCGCGTTCGAGTGGTAAAACCATATGATATATCCCACGATCTCGATTGATGATATTATGATTGGGCAGAGCACGATAAAACATTGCTGTTAAAACCAATTTACCAACGAAGATTCCCTCGTCCAGCCAGTGAGCTTTGACCGGCGCCCGGTAAATTTGGGAGAGACCAAAAGCCGGTCTGCTGAGCAGGAAGTCGTCGAGAGCTCAAACTCTGACAGGAACATCAAGTTGGGCTCTTTGGAAAACTCATAATGCTTCTCATGCTAGCTGTTTATATTGCGTCACAAGGGCCAAGTTGTTTTTTTCCTCATTAAGCCTATAGCTTGTTTTTGCAGTCGTCGTTGCTCTTACTCAAGGCCATTTTGTTCCCCCTCAGGGGCTGGGAAGAGGATTTTGTTGAGCCTCCAGACGCACCGCAGCCCCAACAAGAAGCAGCTCAAAGGCGCACTATCCGTCAGCGTTCACAGAAAAGTAAAATACATCATTTTAACACGAAATTCCCAGCAAGAAAGGTTAAAACTGGAAGCAGACAGATGAGGCGACATGAAAACAGTTAGTATTTTTATTGTTTTGGAGATGCACATGAAAAATAGATTATCTGTGGCTTATTTTTATTCGAAGATAATAGTTGAAGAAATAAAATTATCTTCCCTTGTTCAATTTCATTCTGTAATATCTTTTGCTGTGGTAGTAAACACTGAGTATAAAACAAAGGGGTTGCCCACTTGGTTGGGATCCTGTGAACTAGTGCCTTGGAACTGCAGTCACAGTCAAAATGGTTGGGACACTTTGGGGTCTCCTTGTCCCCTCAATGTTGGTGTACAAGATTTGGTGACCAAACCGCGATAAACAACTTTGAGAGGGACAAGGGGAGCAGGAGAAGGAAAAAAAACAGCGTTTCGTTAAAGTGTCCCAACTATTTTTGTCTGAGACTGCGGCACACAGTGGTGTTTTGTTCACATCTTGGGTACCTGATATGAAACTGTCCACATAGTTACTCCCTTTCACGCTGTCAGACGCAACTTGGAAACTTGAGCTTTGAAGGGAGTACGAAGCAGTGGTTTGCATTATAACTAACAACACTGGTGTGCACACAGGGACCTGATGCCCACTGTTGTGCCTGGGTACATGGTCTCAACCTTGAACTCAGGCACTGGCACGGTTACCTTATTGCAGCATGGGTAGTTGAAAAAAAACATGTGTTCACATTAACATTAGTACCCTATGAGTACCATACTCGGGTACCTTTCCAAGTGTGAATGCTGTCAAAGAAATTGTTAAGATATTACCCACAAAATTGGGTACTTTGGAGAACAAAACAATCCCAGTTCAAAGTTCGGGTGTTTCTGGCAGGTAGCTCATACAGCAGCACAACATTGCTTAGAGAGGGTGGGTAAGGAAAGCTTCATTTTCCCTTTTGAAATTGGCAACATGCCAAAAAAGCCCTTTGAGGCACAGTGACTACTTTTTGTTGCCGATTGAAGGATTAAGAGAACCACAAAATATTAAAGTCTTTTTCAGGATTGCCAAAAGCAGTGAACAGGCTGTGATCAATGTACCAGCTTAGAATATGCAATGTCTGTTTTTAGCCTGTTTCCTTCTGAGTCTTGTCGATCATGAGGAAATTGAGGAACTTGACATCAGTGACTTGGTTAACAACAACACCAGTGTGTTTGCCTCACTTTTAACAAATGCAGAAAAAATGAAGGTATGCTGTTTGATGCATTTTTTCTGGGAGAAAGGAGAACTTTCTTATGGCCTACAGGACACTGGACATGGCATGCATGCTTTTTGGCCCATCCCCAACTAGGGAAAACTGTTATTACAATGAAAAATACCACATGTTCCAAAGAAAATATTACTTTTTAACGAAACAAGGGTCCATCTATTTTGTATCTTGTCCCACAAAGGGTTCTAATTTAGCAGAATGCACTTTTCTTTTTTGTCCTAAGCAAAAGCAAGGTCGTGATTCTTACCCCACAGTGGCAACCCTATCCCCGAACGCGAGTTTAGTACCCCTGGGTTGTTTATGAATGTTCCAGGTCTAACTTCCTTCTATAATTCCTTGTATGTCAAGATCTGGAATGAATTTGTGAGCCTGTCTGAGGAAGAACAAGATCTTGTCATTACAAGAAGAACATCATCTCCTCAAGAGAAGGAAATCAACCGAGAAAGTACTGAGGAAGAACTTGTCTTGACAGAAAGAGGTTGGTCAAAATGTTGTTAAGTATATTTTGTCTTTTCCACAACTGTGGAGTTTATACAATTTTGCAGGGGGTGTAATTAAATGAAGCTGTTACAGGCTTTAAAAAAGTTGTTTCTCTTTACATGTAGATTAAGTTAGATTAGTTTAAGTTCAATACAGTTTGTAGCCCAAAAAGTTAGCCACTGCTTCGTTGTTAAACTGAACTGAACTGAACTTGTTTGTTATTCAAACATAGCATGTCAGACAGGCCCAGTCTAAAACTAAAAATCTAGCTCTTGGGCTGTCAATAAGGTTCAAGTTCAGGGTGAGAAGAAAATCAGTTTTACAGCCTGCCATTCGAGCAAGCTGTAGCTAGCATGTACTAGCCCACAAGTCATTTCATCAACTAGCCCCAAAACCCTTTTTGGATTAACGGGATTGATTACAATCCTTCTGTAATTTGAATTTCCCCCAAAACAGCACTTGCCTGTCGGGCAACTTAAGAACAAAAATTAATCACTTATAGCCCAAATAGCAAAATCCACTAGCCCCGGGCTATCGGACACGACTTTCTTTGCACACTAAAGTTCCTAGATCAATGCAATTGTTTGGCAGGAAACTGAACAGCTAGGAAGTTCTTCGTGTTCAGCTTCCCTTTTGTTTCTCCTCAAAGTAGCTGCAGGTCGTGCTTTTCGCAGCCAGGGGAAATCCTTGTCCCTCAGCCCTTAGGGACAGCCCTGCAGCACTCTGACCACTTGTAACATAGAGTATCACTTCATAAAATACATGTCTCTTGGGGAGAGGGCCTTCGCTTATGTTGGCCTTTCACCATGGAACACTCTTCCTTCAGCTGTCAGGAGTATCCATAGTGTTCAGGGTTTAAAGTAGGCTCTAAAGACTCTCGTATTTTGTTTGGCATTTGCCCAGTGAACTTTGCTTTTGTACAGTGATTGAAGTATTTTATTTTAAGTATTTTCTCTTGGGGTACTGTTTGTCATGTTTGTGTTTGTCAGTTTCTTATAACGGCTTTAGAATATGAATATACTCTTAGCACTATGTAAATAAAATGTCTTCTCTTATTTCAATTCACTGCATCTGTAGATGCTGTGGTAACTGCAGAAAGGTCTTTCAACAAAATTGAAGGACAGATCAGGGGAACACTTCTAAACAAGCGATTTTCAATGGTATGTTTTACTATTAAGTTAGTAGATATTCGTTTCTATTGATAGCAATAAGTATGTCTTGACCAACACATTTCCATATCAGTCATATTGAAGACTCAAGACTCATGGCTGTGCAGTGTTTTTTAATCAGGTTAAAAACTCCTTTTCACATTAAATTTATCTCCACATACCATAAATAATGAACAGTAATCTTGGACAAATTTAGAACCAAATTTTATCATCATTTTTCAAGGACATCTTATCGTAAACTCTGGTATGTCGGTGATTCTTCTTGTTTTTGTTTTAGGCTTTATTAAAAATGTGTTAAGTATGTAGATGTATGACCCATTCATTTCTCTCCTCGTTTTTTACATGCTTCTTTTACCTTTAATACAGGGTGGGCTGAGTAAAAAGATGGGTGTGTTAAGAATATAGATGTATCACCCATTCATTTCTCTTTTCGTTTTCTACATTTTTCTTTTTTTACCTTTAATACAGAGTGGGCTAAGTATGTAGATGGGTGTGTTAAGTATATAGATGTATCACTCATTCAGTTCTCTTTTCGTTTTTTTTTTTTACATTTTGCTTGTTTTTTTAAAACCTTTTATACAGGGTGGGCTGAAGCACCATGAAGAGGAAGTGGTTTCCTACTTTTCTGATGACCCCGGTTCCGTCATGATCACAAACATACCATCCAGGTGTGTTCACAGCTAAATACTGGTGCTATGCTCATTTTGGTCTGTATTTTTGTTGAAAGTAATGCTAATTATTTTTCTTTCACTGTGTTGCAGTTTTGACAGACTGTTGGTTCATGGTGTTTGCCAGTTCCTTGATTTAAAATCCAGCAGTAAGTTATAGCATTTTAGAACCTGATCATAATCCCAGTGAGAGTGATACAAGGCTGTTACAGCTGGCTCTCTAGTAGAGTTTTCTTGGGAGTGGCAAAGTCATGAGACAAAACTCACCAACCCGAAGAAGAGTCTCTCGTTTCTAATCTACCCACCAGCTTACATGAAACTCATTTGGTGGGAAGCCAGTCTGAATAGTGAAACATGGAATTCCTACAAACAGTGTGCTTGCAGCCTTGTGTGATACAGAAGAATGCTTGCTATAAGTGCTTTTACATTGTCGTGTGGCAGACAAATGGCATTCATTGTGTGAGAAGTTGGTTTTCTTCAACATCGTGCTATTGCCAAAGAAAGAAAATTCAAACCTGTTTGTGCATTATTATAATAATAATAATTACCATCTAACTTAGATTCCTTGTTAAATTTTACTTTTCTCTTGTCAAATTTACCCGTCTTTGTTGCCAGATACCAACATCAAGTCTTAGTTGTTGGACCCTAAGTAGTTCACTATGTGTGACACTGCATGGCCTTATTTTATCAACCTACTTATTTTTGATTCCCTTTTTTTCATTTTTAATGCACAGGTTTAAACCGTAATGGTGATCGTATCATGGAGATTGAAAACAAGAGGGAAACATTCTGTGTGCCAGCTCTTCTTCTTTCCCAATATTTAGAACAGCACAGATAGCACAAGAAAACATGAAATTTCCTTTAACTAAGAGACCTTAGCTTGTAGTCTATCATATTAACATACGTGTCTATTGTAGGTAGAACTTAGAACTTTTTTGATAAAATTTAGCAAAAAGGAAACACACAATGACTTAGGGACTTTTCATGTAAAATATGATACTGTTGGTACGATAATTATGTTCCTTTTAATACTAGTTCTTGTGAGAGAACTTTGTACTCTTCAAAAAGATGAAATATTGTGTGGATGAGAGAAATCCAAAAAGAAACTCTTGTACGTGAATTATTATTATAGTGTTACAAAATACTAGTTAGCAGAAATAAAATACAATAAATAACCACAAAAATGTTGTCATTGTTGATTCTGTCATACAAAATAATCAGGTTTATTTTTGTACAAAACATAGAAAGAATCAAAGAAAGTGCGTTTTGATCATATTCAAGTAAAATTTTTAAAAGGTAGGGAAAAACTTCTTATATTACTTGGTCTGAATATGAGAAATGATGTTAAATACACAGGCAGCTCACCTCAAAAAAAGTATCAAGAGTGTCAATAAGCCAGCTTCACCCTCAATGGCAAATTAAACAGGCTTTTTGTGATTCATCTCACAACAGAATTAATTACAGTAAAATTTCAAAATAAGCCCCGGGGCTTATATTTTTCAAAGGCCCTTTTTGAGGGGCTTACCTTTGGAGGGAAATTTGCGTCTCAAAATCAATTGGGCTAGCCTTATAGTTGGAAGCAAATTTGCCGTTTTTGCTTTGTTTTACTCTGCATTTGAGGGCAATTTTCTAAGTACAAGCCCCCAGGGGGCTTATATTTGGAGGGGCGATTTAACAGAGTGCTTTTTGCGTTACCGGATTAGGGGGCTTATATTTGGAGGGGCTTATACATGGAGGGGCTTATTTTCAGAATTTTACGGTATCCCCATAGTTTCCCGAGAATCGCAAAGTGAATTATCAGAATTCATTATTTTTATGGCTGTTTTCCACAAATCAACTGAAATTTTTATTGCTTTGACATGTAATGATAATAATATTATTATTATTATTTACAATATTATAAAGAAGAAGAAACCAGCTTCAATGCCATAAGCTATTTGAAATTTCAACAAAACTGACTGAGAAAAATCATTAAGAATTTTAATTCTGGTTATTCTGATATTAAAATATCAGAATAACCAGGTAAACATTCACTTGGTCATACACCACCAGACCTCAAGAAGTCTTCAAAATTTTTATTTAATTCCAATTCTCTATTTTTACAGAGGTGTAAACAATCATGAAGCCCACTTTTTTGAGGGCCCTTTTTGAGGGGCTTATTTTTGGAGGGGCTTATCCATGGAGGGAAATTTGCATCTCAAAATCGATTGGGCTAGCCTTATAGTTGGAAGTAAACATGTAATAATAATCATAATATTATTATTATTATTATTATTTATAATATTATAAAGAAGAAGAAACCAGCTTCAATGCCATAAGCTATTTGAAATTCCCACAATACTCAATAAGAAAAATAATTAAACATCAAAATAACCAGGTAAACATTTACTTGGTCATACACCACCAGACCTCAAGAGGTCTTCAAAATTTTCATTTAATTCCAATTCTCTATTTTTACAGAGGTATAAACAATCATCAATCCCACTTTTTAGCTTCACTCAAAGAAAGAAAACATAACACTTATCTTCACTTTGGCATAAATTCATTAAACTAGTTTTAGTAGACATGATTAAAGGTATCTACAAAAAGCTAATTTTTTCCCTTAATCTCACCCTTCAAGATGCGTTCTCTCTTTATGAAATTGTAAAGAAGCAAAACAGTAGTAGAAAAGGACCAACCCTAACATGTTTCACCAAAAAAAAATTCAGGCTTTGCACTCAAAATATTAATAGAATGTTGCAAAAATGTATTAATGGCAGAATTGAGAAGATTACTGAGATTCTGAGCTGTTAAAAATGACAAACGAATTTTATGCACCTTGCAGCAAAATGTTTCAGTGCCTTTATTATGGGATGAACTGAGTATTATATTTTTGTAGGAAGGACAAACCCGGTAGTAGCATCACCTAGCCACAAAGTGCTATTCACCATATTCCCTAGATTATAGTTTTCTTCCAATAGAATAGCTGTAAGGGTTAAATACAATTTGACTATTACTGTTAACGTAAATTATTTTCTGTGATGAAATTGAGTCCATTGATTTTTCAAAGTACTTATACACTAGAAAAGATAGCAAATGGTTATAAAATATATGCAGACGTATAATAATTTTAAAGCCTAACTAACAATACATTTTAAAGGCACACCACATTTTGTACCAATAACATTGGCAGAAACCTGAGAAAGATGCTCTTTCATAATCACACATCTAGAAAAGAACAGTAATGCTAGCAGCTTGATCGAGTTCTAACAAACTTAAATTCGTGGAAGAGTGAGACCTTGTTCTTAGTGTTTACCTCTCCCATTCATATGGTATGGCTTTTATTCTGTAAAATTTTGTCCCAACAGGAACATTAAACCTGTTGTTTGGCTGTAGAATAAGAAAATTAGGAAGATGATAAATAAACCAATATATTTTTCTCTTCCAAAATAAGGGATGTATTTGCCTGTGCAGCAGCAGGATTTTTAGGAAGCTGAAGTGAAAATTCCTGTAATCAATGAACTGAATTCTAAATATTGAATGAACCATTGTCTTCATTATTATTATTGCTATTTGACTGATTTGACACTATAGTATGGGTGGATTTGGAGGAGTACTAAGGGGTCACCCCATCCCTCCCCCTCCTCTGAAATTGTAATTTATTTTATAAGACTTCTCAGCAAAAACTATCTCAAATAAAGACATGGGTCCACTTATTGGGTTGACGCAGAAAAGAAAAAAAATGTAAAACAGTAAACCCAAGGTGGGCAAGGAGTGCCCCAAGGAGATGGAAAGAGATGCCTCTCCTTTTTCTCTTCTTGAATTCACTAAAAAATCAGTGATTCTTGTTATGCAAAAACTTTCTCTACCAGCTGATTCTTTGATAAAGTAGAAATATTGTTTAAGGCCATCCTGACATACCTTTTTAGCTTGACAATACTCCTTATCCATCATTTGTGCTAGTATCCATGGTCTAATGACAGACAATGAATAAATACCAACATTGAAGTGGGCCACATAAAAATCACTATGAATACTGGAGCCGCAAAACTTAAACAGATGTAGAACTGACATACCATAAAACTATTTCCTTGAATAATTGCCCACACTCTAATATATATGCACCCTTCCCCCAATAATCACCCAAAAGCGCCCCTCTCTAATAAGTGCCCCCACCGGTTTCCCATCACTTTCTTAGATAGTAAAGATACAAGGAAAACCTGTTCTTATTGCCACTTACCGGTAATTGATAACTTTTCAAGCTTCAACTTCAACATTTATATGTGTGTAAACGGCATAACAGGACTATGGTACGATTGATTAACAACAGGAGGAAACCTTAACCCTTTAAGTCCCAATAGTGATCAACATCAATTTTCTCCTAAAAATACCCATATGTTGCCAAGAGAAATGGTTATGAGAGTTAAAAAACTGATCACTAAATGGAAAATGCTTTGATCTATTATCAAATTCTCTCAAACTAATTCTTAATGGAGATGTATGGTTATTATTTTGGAGAATTTGCAAGTGGATATCAGGGCTTAAAGGGTTAATAAGCAACCCCTTGATTAAGCACCCTCCTTCCAATAAGTGTCACCTCTTTTAGCCGACATTTTATATAAGCACCCAGTGCCTATTCAAGGAAATAGACTGACCTATGCTGGGATGATTTTCTTTGTCATTTCTAACTTTTGGTGTTACCATTCAAATGAAACCTCTTTAGCAGTACTGTATTTTAATACTTCTCAAGACTTTACAAAAAGAAATTTGGATTTTTTTTTTGGAATTTTTTATTTTTGGCCTCTGAAGGAGTGAAAGTGTTGAAGGTCATAGAGCAAAGAACATCATCACTTGAGTGCAGTCTTACCTTCTTTTAGGGCCACCTGCAAAGAAAATGATACATATCATCATAAAATTGTAAAATCATCATCATCATCATGATAGGTGCATTGGGCGTAAATTATAAAAAAAAAGATTCAGATAAGCTCATAAAGTAAAATCCAGGAAACTTGAAAAAACAATGATGCCGGGAGCAGCATAAATTCACATGTATTATATTTTAGACAGGAGAACTTTCTTTTTACCGACAACCAGGTTAACAAAGCACCCCGTATGTTCCCCAAGGTTAACAATTTGGACCTGGCCATTCTGAACACTTACTTATTATAACAATAATGACAAAAGTTTTACTTTAAAGCATAATGTTAATGATGAGAAGTATATATGAAATAATTCATTTTGAACTGCGGTTGTAGATGAGAGTGAAGAATGATCATCGCAGTAAATTTTCCAATTTAAGCAATTGGAAAGAAGAAGCCTGAAAAAAAATCAGGGCTTCAACGGGATTCGAAAATTGCTTAAATTGGAAAATTAACTGCGATGATCATTCTTCACTTTCATCTACAACCGCAGTTCAAAATGAATTATTTCATATATACTTCACATCACTTCACACCTCACAGGAGATATGAACTCAATAAATTGACCTCGCTCCCAATGTGTGGCTTCATAGCTCAGTTGGTAGAGCAACACACTGGTAACGCGGAGGTCACGGGTTTGAATCCCGTTGAAGCCCTGATTTTTTTTTGCAGGCTTCTTCTTTCCAATTGCTTAAATTGGAAAATTTACTGCGATGATCATTCTTCACTTTCATCTACAACCGCAGTTCAAAATGAATTATTTCATATATACTTCACATCATTTCACTCCTCACGGGAGATATGAACTCAATAAATTGACCTCGCTCCCAATGTGTGGCTTCATAGCTCAGTTGGTAGAGCAACGCACCGGTAACGCGGAGGTCACAGGTTTGAATCCCGTTGAAGCCCTGATTTTTTTTTCAGGCATCTTCTTTCCAAT